TGAAGCAAGTAACTTCCAAAAGGTACAAGAAATGATAGAGACAGCTGGTTATCTGGATAGTCACCCCAAATCTCATTTGCAATGTTGGAGCAACCAGCTTTGGCTAAGGCCTAGAGTACCTAAGACCATTTTCAGAGTCAGGAAATTTTGAAAGATTGTCCTACCCTATCCTGGCTAGTTTGGCAGTCATTTTTGTTTGCATCTTGCTTGTCCGGTTTGGACAGCATGCATATTGTCAGTAGTAGAGGCGTGGGCGGTTCTTTGCTTGAAGGCCAATTTTGCCAAGAAGGAAACAAGCTCCAAGGGAAGTGTCTTCAGTGCCCAACATTCTCTTGGGAATAAATCGGTGCTACCAGGAGCAATCATGTCTCACATCAACAGCATTCTGAGTTACTTGAATGCCATATTTTACAGTTCTTTGAAGTATTTGAAGATTACATGGTACAATCTCTGTGCATCTAGAGAACCTGACTAGCCTAACTATAAGTGTGACAAACATGGGTGACTATTAACTTGTAATTTTTAATACCTATATAGCCTAAAGACTAAGGTTTCACGTTATAAAGTTAAACTATCTTTAAACATATGTGAAGCAAAGCAGGACAATGACCTCAAAATGTAAACAACATATTTAAGTATCTTGATCAGCGGTAGAAATGTAAAGTGCAATATGATAAATAGATCCTAAAATTGCATCAGTATGCAAAATATCTTAAGCAGAGGTAGAAACATGCATGCGTACAATATGACAAAACAACTTTGCATATGTGTACACATATTGTAAACAGAAATAGGAGGGTACTCAATATCACAAATATAATTTGAATTTCTATCAATATACAAATTATCTTAGACAGAAATACAAGGATAATTTTACATATGTATCAATATGCAAGATTCCATACCAATGTAAACTATCTATAACTAATAGTTCACAAGTAGACACACTAATCTACCTATTATTCTACCCAATCCCCCGTTTTTTTTTTCTTTTCCAAAAGAGATTCCCGAGCCTACTTCATTTCTACCCCCAACCCTATACAACTTCTAGCCAAGCCCTAACAGATGACAATTGTCCTTAACTCTGAGGACAATTTTTTTTGGGGAGAGGGGACATTGTCTTTTTAGAATTACTTTTAGCTGTTATGGGGCCGATGTTATTTCTGTGGGATCCTGTGAAAACTAAAATGATGGTTAAGTCTCAAGATTATTGTCTAGTACAATTATAGATAGTCTCTGAGTAGTTGATATGGTTTTTTTTAAGTTCTTATTCGAAGTTCTGGCCAGAATGTTGTAAGTAGGTACACCATCTCAGCTAGCCAAGTTTGAGCAGTTTGTAGCCCAAAACTGGCCTTTGAGTGGTGCCTATCAGCTCAATGGTATCATAAGATCCAGGTGGGATCATTGTTGTGGGGCCCCATCTTCTTTCTGGAGACTTCAGAGATTACCGAAGGAAAATATATTGTTCACGGTGGAAAATTTAAACATCATTTATGTCAATATGTAAAGTCTGAATTTCGATAGAAATATATTTAAAGAAAAGTACCATAGAGACAAAAATAGGTATGGGGAGAAGTAGAATTTTTGAAAGCAGAGTTTTGATAATCTTAGTCCCTAGATTTTTATTTTCCTTCTGTCCCACACCAGGGGGCTCCTGATATGAAATAGAAACTCAGATTTTTAAAAAAGATTTATTTATTATGTATACAGTGTTCTGCCTGCATGTATGCCTGCAGGTCAGAAGAGGGCACCAGATCTCATTATGGATGGTTGTGAGTCACCATGTGGTTGCTGAGAATTGAACTCAGGACCTCTGGAAGAGCAGTCCTTAACTCTTAACCTCTGAGCCATCTCTCAAGGCCTGATTTTGTTTTTAACAACATACTTGGATTTAGAGAAGGCTAGCCACTGTCCAATTCCAAAGCCAGCTTTGATTTGTGAGAGTGTTGGGGCTACCATTATGTTGAGAATATTGGTATTATAAGTCAGATTAAGTCCTTCCTATTTTCTGGAAAAAGTCCGACTAATTATTATTTTCTCACGGTGAAGTCTGACAAGCAGTTCTTGATTCAGTCCCCTTTTTCATAGGTAGGTGGGTGGAATAACTGCCCAGAACCCCCTCAAGATCAGCACCATTTATTTGAAGAGACATGTTGTGCATGGTTGGACTCTCAATTGAAGGGGCTTCTAGGAGTGGGAATAAAGCCCACTCTCCAATTTCTCCTTGAACGACCATGTGTGTGTGGTGCACACGACTTTAATCCCAGCACTCGGGAGGCAGAGGCAGGCGGATCTCTGTGAGTTCGAGGCCAGCTTGGTCTACAAGAGCAAGTTCCAGGACAGGCTCCAAAGCTACAGAGAAACCCTGTCTCGAAAAACAAAAACAAACCCAAACAAAACAAAAGAAAGACAATGTGCATCTAGCACATTGGAAAATTAGGGAGCCCCTCAACAATGAACCCTCTTTGTCCTTTTGGTGACTGATAATCTGAGCTAAACTGAAGGACATTTAGTCGGTTGGCGCTGCACCCTTTCAATTCTGACAGCTTCCATCTTATTAATAAGGAGAAACTCAAGGATAGCTCTTTATCAGTTACTCTCTGTTGCTATGTCAAGACTCCATGACCCAAAGCAACTTTCATTATGGAAATTTTGTTTGTGCTTGTGATTCCGGGGAGGGATAAGAACCCACCACGGCAGTGAGGCAGGGCAGCAGACACATTCCAATGGCATGGGAACTGAAGTAGGGCAAGGCTATGAACGCTCAGATCCTGCCCCCAGTGACATACTTCCACCAGCAAGGCCTGTGCATCCCCAGACACCACCAGGCGTTCAAAGCTCTGCATCTGTGAGGGACATTTCTTGTGAAAAACCTCTGCCACCGCTCTATTGCTGGGACTGAGAACACTACATTTTACAAGTTTATTTGGGCTTATGGCTTCCGAGGTTAGGGTCCATAATGGCAGGGACAGCAGGTGGGAGGCAGGCAGGCCGAAGCTGGCTGAGGGCTGAGAGCTCACACCTGGAGCCACAGCAGGGAGCTGAGCTAACTAACACAATGTGAACTCAATTGGCTTTTGAAGCCTCAAAGTCACCACCACCCAGTGACATAATTCCTCCAACAAGGTCATACCTCCTAAATCTTCCCAGTCTAGAGGCACTAGACCTAAGGGGGACATTTTATTCAGACCACCGTAGTACCATCTCAAGGCTATTTCAGATACTCTCAAACAGAAAACCAGGAAGGAATAGTGCTCTGCCTGCTTGTCAGCGCAGGTCCGGCTGCAATGCTGGGAATTGAAGGAAGGCTAACGCGCCTGTGTGTGGGAGAGAGCCCGCCCTGGGACCACAGTTCTGCACTGATCTCTCTCTTCAGTGGTCCCAAAGAACAATTTATGTAGAAATCTTGAGACTGCCAGGTTGTATAAGCACAAATCTTCGTTTTAAGCCTGGCTCGTGGGTTGGCAGTCAAATCCATGGTCACTTGTACAGGCGACTCTATCAAAGTCTACGCTGACCTACGGGATAGCAATTTGGCCCTAGAAAATATACTCAAGTTACAAGCTGTTTTAGCTCTTCTTGACTTTTTCAAAACCCTGGCTGTTGTGAAACTTGCTGTGTGGGCCGGGCTGGCCTTGAACTTATAGTGATCTGTCTGCCCCTGCCTCCTGTTATATTCTCTGTTTTATGCTGTGCTGGCGACTGAGCACAGGGTTCACCGCTGATAGGCAAATGACCACTGAGACACACTAGTCTACTTCCCTTAGAAACTGAAGGCCCCGCTAGGAACAAACAGTCCGTTTGCCCACATGTGGGTCACACTAGTAAACAGAGTAAGTCAAGCCAGTACCGCTCTTATTCAATAAATATCCAGTTCATTAAATGGGATGAGCTTAATGCTTTGGCACTGGGAAGGCTTTGAAGCCCAGTCTGCATGGCCTCAGTTCAGGTATGCACTCAGCCTTTGACTTTTACAGGAAGGACCCACCCCTTAGATGACTCTCCACGGTCCTCCTACCCCAAGCTTCAGGACCATGGCAACCTGTTTTTCTTCCCCACTCTTTGAAGAAAAAGTTAGCATGTTCTAAAAAATGGCAACCCCATCCATCTCTAATCTTCAATTCAGTGATCTTGGGTCTATCTTATATTAAATTTTTTACTAGCATGTATTATACCCTAATGGGCTCCATTATAACATTTTTATACACATATGCATTTTAATCATATTCACCCATTGCCCCTTCCTCCTATTTTCAAGTCTTTTGTGGGTGTTTGTGATCCAGTGAACTGACTTAGGGTTTTCTTACAGCAGTGTAGTAACAGCTACCTTACCGAGGACAGACAACCCAGCAACAAGGAGGGAGGGAAGGGCAGGGCCTTGGGAGCTCCTCCCCATCAAATTTAAATTACATATTCCACATTTTTTTTTATCCAGTTAGATGTGCAAACATCACAGTTCTAGACTAGATGAAACTGTCATTTGACCTTTGGATCTCAGAATCTTAATGAACTTCAGTGACCTAACACAGGTTTCAAACCCGTCAGCATTTGCACTAACTGGTGTTCTGGCAGGTCTATGCTTCCAATCTTAACCCCATTCATTTAATCGTTAGCTTACTTTTCATTATAGTATTTTTAAGCTTGTGAACATGTTAGCTCAAGTGGTAGACTTGAGAATTCTCAAGAATGCTGTGGGTGTTCAAGGAATTAGCAGGGCAGATATGGTGGTGCATGCCTTTAATACCAGTACTTGGGAGGACAGCCAGGGCTACAGTGAGATCTTGTCTCAAAACAGGATGAACTGCCAGCTGTGTGACTGTCCTGTGTCAAATTCCTTACCGTGTGCCTTCCCTGGGGACACCCTGTCCATTTCTCAGTGTTTCATTCTCAGAGAATCCTCCCATTAACCTGTTGCCCAGAGTTCTTAGGACCCACTGCAGCAGCAGCCGACAACTGTTTTGCTTGCTTCTGAAAGCAACACAAACCACTAGAACACAGACTTAAAAACCAAGCCATTTAATTGTATCTTTGAAGGTAAACAATACATGGACCCAAACCCTAAGCCCTAAGAATGCTAGAGTTACAGGTCCAAAATGTGGTATGGCTGAAGAGTTCAGAAGGGTCAGAGCTCAAGTGTTTGGTGGCACAGAGTATGTGATCCAAGAATTCCACTTAGCGGTTTTGCCAATTACCAACAGATGCCATGGATCTTCTAAGACAGGAAAACACACTCAGTCCTGGTTTTAAGGATAACAGAATGAAGGGTGCCAAAGATTATGCTGATCTCCTCCCAGCACACCCCCAATGCGTGCAGCTGAAGCTGCAGTGTAGGGCTGAGATCGGTCCTTCTGTCCACTCATCTCCACAGAATGCCACAGGCAGAGTGCTTGTCAGGACAGCTTTTTAACAAGCACCAAATGGGACAAAGAACCCTCTAGTGGCACACCAAGTTAGTTTATAAGATTTTAATTTACAAATAAAAAAAGCTACATGATTTACTTTTTCTCCTTTTTCTCTTCTTTCTTTCCGTCGCCCTTCTCCTTCTCTTTCTCGTCCTTCCTCTCCTTCTTGCTCTCTTCCTTTTCCTGTCCCTCCTTCTTCTCTGCATCCCGGTTGGCAATCTTGTTGTTGATGAGGTTGTGCAAGGCGACCACAGAGCGGATCAGCGAGGCCAAGTACACCACCACCATCTGGTCATTGGTCTTCAGATAGAAGGCCTTGACGAACTCCTGCAGGCTGGCGTCCGGCAGCAGGTTGAAGACGTCCTGCAGCTGGTAGATGATCTGGTGGTTGATGGGCAGCTTGCCACTGGCTACTTTCTCCAGGTAGCTCCTGATGTCCAGGAGCTTGGAGTTCAGTCCCTTCAAACCATGGACCTGGTTTGTGATCCGCTGGGAGAGAGTTCCCACTGTAGTGTCCTTGATGTCTCTGGAACAACCCAAAAGGCAGAAAGGGCATCAGATTACACATTCACAAATGTAAGGACAACAGTTCAGATCAGCAGCAACTTTCTGGTCCCCTGGGTCTTCAGAAAATTTTATTTTTAACTGTATTATATATGAGTGCAATGCTCTCAGAGGCCAGAAGAGGGCATCAGATTTCCCTGGAGTTAGAAGCAGTTGTGAGCTACCTGACCTGGATGTTGGGAACCAAACTAGGTTCTCAGTAACAACAGTCAGTGCTCCTAACCAATGGCCACACATCTCTCCAGTCCTCACAGGTAACCTTGTTTAGTTCTCTGCCTTGGCATCCATGGTTTAGAAAGGATGACATTTCCCCCCGGTTTTGATAGAATGTTGAGCAGCTTAAATCAGTCAGTGGTCATTTTCAGAGTCTGGAAGACCTTAAGTGTAGGTGAACATGAAATCTTTCAAGTACACTCTCACACAAATTCCATCCCAGGATGAAGGGTCTCTGCAGAAACACACTGATCACTGGATAGCACAGGCCTGTGTTTACACGTGTGTGTGTCCTGTCACAGCCATGCAGCCTCAGCCAAGACACTTCAGAGTTGAACTTGTTCAACCACATTGATTTGTAAGAAATCAAAGAGCTGGAAGTGGCTGCTCATGCCTTGAATCCCAGTACCTTGCAGGATGAGGGAGAAGGATGGCAACTTTGACTAATCTGGGCTACAATGAGACCCCATTTTAAAAAGCCAGAAAGAAACCAAAGGCTCAGAAAGGGGCTGTGACTCATTTACCTGAGAAGCACAGTGGCTAACCTGACCCTGAACTCCTAACAAATCCCTTCTACAAATGGCTCACTAGGCAGCTAACTCTGGCACTGTACAAAGATCTCCACTCCCTCCACCCCCTGCCCTCGAATTCAGAGATCCATCTGCTTCTGCCTCTCAAGTGCTAGAATTAAAACTGTACACTACCATGCCCAGACTGATTTTTTTTTTTATTTTTGTTCCTGGTGTGCACGCCTGCTTATCTGTATGTGCACCACGTACGTCCCTAGTGCTCTTGGAGGTGAGAAGAGCGCGTGAGATTCCTTAGTACTGGAGTCACAGGTAGTTGTGAGCTGTCATGGGGTGCTCCTGCAAGAGCAGCAAGTGTTCCTCACTGCTGAGTCACTTCTCCAGTCCCCACCGGCTCACCTCAACAAGTGTTCCACTCCAACTTCCTCAGCTTCCTCTGCCCCAATTTCACTGGTCACATGCTCAAAAGTTTTTGATGTTGGCGTTCCGTCCTGTGAGAAAAAGCTTAACTTTTGTTATTTATTATCAACAAGCCAACTGGCATGTTTCTCTTCTCACAGCCGAATCGCTGGGACACTGCTGCTAGCTTGTTCGCACCATGTCGCCACTAAAGTGTTCTCTGTAGAAATCTGTCTTGTCAAGGAAAACTGTATTCCCTCAAGCCCACACTTGGGGATCAGTGCTCAGAAGACTCGGGTTAAGAATTTAGTTCTTTCTAGAAATACTGCACTCGATATACATGAATATACACATATATTCATGCCAACAAATTTAACCTAAACATATACCAGCCCTGACCCAAATGTGATACAACCAATGACTAGTGGTTTGAAGGAAAGCATCCACAGGGCAGGTGGGGGTGGGACCAGGTCGGGGGCTGGTTCACCTGACCACCGAGTGACTCCATGGTGGAACTTGAGGACACTTTTTAGACCGACTGCCAGCAGAGGCTGTGCTCCCGTGAGGGCTCTACCAGCTTGTGCACAGTAAGCCACAGGCCCTGGACAAATCTCTAAGTCATATCGCACACTGCACCTGCTGGAAGTGAGGCTGGCTCTCATATTCAGGATGGTGTGAGAAGCCCCCAAAGGCACTCTAGCCTTGACACTAAGATGGCCGAAGCCTTCCAGTCTGTTAGGACTTCATGACAACTGGGTCAAGACCAGGGATAAAGCTTTACTGCAACCAAACAATACATTTAGATTTAAGTTTCCTGGAGCTACAAAACAAAAGCAAAAACAGGACCAGGCTTAGGAGGGAGCCACCCTAGAACAACCCTTTCCAAATTCTATATCTGTATAGTAAGAGAAATATTACAACCTGAATCCCTCTTGACTGTGAAGATCGGGCTCCTTGGACAGCCTGTTTTATCAGGCTCTCCCCACGAGCTCACAACCAGCTTTCCTAAGGACAGAGAAAGGCTGGCTACTTACTGCTCACTGTTCTACTGACTGCAACCCAAGTGTCAAAAGATCACAGGTCTGGCACCTGACAGCTCTTCGTGCTGTATTTGAAAACCTAGGACCTGTCTGAAGGGACTGAAATCTTCAAAAGGAGCCTGTACACTGTACTGATTAGGACCTCACTCTTGGGCCTGGCCTCTCCTTCGCTGTGAAGGTCTTGGGTTTCATCTGACTACTCGGGGCTTCAGTGTCTTTAGTGAAAAAGGATTATAGTTTCTTTGATCCTTTTCTATTTCTAAAATCTGATGACTTTAAAACTCAAGGCTAGTTTGCAAGCAGGAACCAACACCTTCTTTTTGTTACAGACAGATAAAGATTTGTTGAGTTGAACATGAACAACAACCCTAAAAAACCTACCCAAGAACCTGCTAACCTAATCTCCAGCCCAGAACGAATGACTCACATCATGAACTTCTTCCACTGAAATGTAAGCTTCGGTGGGAAGTCCTAGGTCCTTTGGCTTCACGTCAATAATGACCAGCACCTGGCAAAAAACACAAATTAGCAAATTTCTCTCCTGACAAGGCACAACTTCAGCTTTTCCTCCTGTCACTTGGATTATTTCCTTCATTCAATTAGAAACAAGCCAGAATGTTCAACAAGAAATAAGCTGGTATTTCACACGATCCATCAAGTCACAAGAATCCAAGTTTCAACCTCTGCCCCACTCTCCACCAGATCTTACTAAACTTTTTTAAAAAATTTACATTTAAAATTACATTTTACAAGAGAGAGAGGTAGGGAAGGAGAACAATTGTGGGAGTCAGTTCTCTCCTTCCCCAGTGTGGGTCCAGGAGAAAGAACTCGTCAGGTCTGGCGACAAGGGCCTTTACTCACCAAGCCTTCTTGCTGGCCCCACTAACCATTCCTAACTTTAATATTCTCACTTATAAAGACAACATACAGTTACTGAGACGATTAAGTCAGTTGTATACACGGCACTCAGCAGGTGCTGTTACTTGCTAAATACACTAGTTACAACAAGTTACTCGGAAACACACTCTACTGAAAGCTACAGAGAAGCAACGATGAATGTTTGCTACCCAGGTTCTTCCCATGATGCCCTTGAGCAGCTGGCAAAGGATTATGGGAGCAGTGTACTTACAGAGTTGGGGCAGTATCTTTTCATGAGTTCATTGATGGCGATATCATTCTTGTGCAGTTTGGGGCCTGTGTGGTACCACCCAACTATCCGTTCTCTGGCTAAGAAGCAGAAACTTAGTAAGTTTTAATTATTTCACTGAGATCAAAATAACAAGAACACCAGTACTTAAGTTTTCTTTTTGAAAATTCCAGACAAAAATAAATCTTGACACATTTATGAAATCTCTCAGAAAATAAGCAGCGTGTGATGTAGATACAATGTATCCCAGACTTGCTTAGGGACCAATCACATGTGAAGTGACCATATATCAATTACAGAACAATGCATAAACAAATGTGAACAAATCACATTTCCATCACACAGGCGGCAGCTGTGTGGAGGGGGTGATTATATCCAAAGAGACATAGTTGGTGTTCTGAAGTAACAGGAAACAATGCACTCTGCCAGTACATGCTCAAGGGGCATGTAGACCCAGGACCAGCCTGTCTCCAGCACAGATGGTCTACGTGGCCTTACACTGCTACTGTATTATCCATCCTACCTCATTTCTTTCTTACCCACCACTAGTCTATTTTCACTTAGTCCAGCTAAGTGAATCGATCCTTGACAATAAACAAAGACACACAGATACCAGGTTTAAACACACACACACACACACACCACACAAGCAATTAGAAACTCAGACTTACCATTGACCTTCTTAAACATTCCATACATGTTTTCCAAATAATCATGGTCTAAAAACCAGACAGAATCATCTTTGTCATCCTCATCGAATGGTACTAAAGAGAGAGGAGAAAAGAAAATAAAGACTTCCGCTAGGGGCCGGACGCTCAGCCACAGTGGAGCCCTCACCTGTCCACTGCAGTCCTTCCTTCAAAACCTCCAGATTCCCAGCTACTCTTAAAATGCTAACGACTTTGCTATCCCGGGAAGACTCTTAAAAAAGGACACATACTCTCTGGCTGGCTAAAGGTCCAATTCTTTCTGATATTTCCCGCATGGCCAGTTACAGACAATACCCACTGTCCTTTTCTAGACCACAGATCCTGCCAGCAATACACGGAACATAAATGTAGCATTATGGTTAAAGATTCATGACAGAGTATTAAGGCTAACAGCCCCCCCCAATCTTTCTTTCCTCCTTGTTCTACCACAGCCAATGTTCAAATATTTAGAGTCAGAGCCAACAGGCTATCCTGAAGGCTTGTTCTGAGATGCAGTCACACTCCTATGTTCACACAATCGAGAGCAGTTCTTGCACTCCAAGAGATGAGCAGCTGCAATGGACACAGCGAGTTAAAAATACTCACTTCCTGGTCTAGTGTGTAGCCGTTAGGCTCAAACAGCAATTCTGAAATAGGATCTTTAGGCTGTAGTAAAAAATGCTCACATCCCAACCACATCCCAACCATGCAAAACTTTACCTGCAAAACTGTTGGATACATCAAGTACTTTCTTTTGCCATGATCCCAAAAGCACACCAACGACTCGCTTCTGGTTTCCAACCTTGCCAATTCTGAATGAGAAGAACAGGTGGTCAGGTTTTAGAGGCGGGCAGACACTCAGCCCCAACAGTTAGCTACTCAGTGGCGAGTTTCAACAGCACAGATACAATTTAGTTTATGTGGGAACTAAGTCCATAAACAAATGTAACAGATTAGTTCCCAGTAAGGAAAGATAAGGAAACTATCCTAACACACACACTGGGAGGTTACTTTCTAAAGACGGCAGACGCTTGCTTGGAGAAAATTCCTACTTTCTTTTTTTCTTTCCCAGTTTTCCTTTAAACTCTCTTCTCTACACTGCAATCTCAGGGACGAGGTCGCTAGAGCAGCACCAGCTTTACAGCGCAGCCAGCTCTCTCAAACCTCTGTGCTGTGCAAACCCGCTCCAGATGCACTTCATCCTCTGGGAGGGCCAGTGGTCCAGGTGGATCCCCACCCTGAAGCTCCAACGTGCCATTCTGCAGCCTCTCTCTCTCTCTCTCTGCTTTATTAGGCAGAGGCCAGCAAGAAGCTGGTGACTAAGCACACGGGAGAAAGACTGGATGAACAAGAGGCTTTTTACTTCACAATGCCAACCTCTGTCTCAAACCTCCCCTGTGGTTTTCTGCTAAGGAGGTACAAGACTTTTTTCTTTTTAAACCACTAGCAAGTTGTCCATTTGGAAATAATTTAATTCTCTGCTAAGGAAACACACAAGCCACAGTGAAAATGAACTCCACCTCTGCACCAGTCCCGAGCTTCTCGTTAGTTTAACTGTAGTGTTTTAACACAAAGCCTGGCAAATCAATACTAAATCTGGGGTATGGGTAGAATGAAATCGAGGGGTCTGTATTCCTGGTGTCTCCCCCCACTCCCCACCCCAAATTCAATGAAAATACTTCAAAACAGTGAGCTTCTACATGCCAATGGGAACTTCACCCACCGGCCTTTTAGTTTACAAAAGTCCACTTGTGTCTTTAGAGTCCTCCAGCTGTTCCAAGACACGGCCACCAGCAGAGTCTGCCCTTCCTAGGTTCTCACCAAGTGTCAGAATAAAACCGAAGCCGTGTTCAACCATAAGGGCCCTCCCTTAGCATTCCAAGGGAGTAAAACTGCATCTACTGTAGGAAGCCCACAGATCCAGTTAATCCCAGGCATCTACAAGCAATGCAACCGAACCCGGAATCAAAACGCTCTGTCTCGAGGGTGTTTTGGGCTCTGGTTGAGTTAGCTGCACAAAGCTTGGCTCGGGCCGCGCACTAGCACGCTCCCAACTGGATTTTCACATTTGTGAATTCAACTAATTATCTTGTAAAACTTCCAAACACGTGCAACAGGTCTGGCAGGAAGAACGGCTGGGGAAAGGTGGAAGTGGCAGGAAGCTAACTATCCAGGGGCACTGTAGGATGACCCAATCTGGACCTGCCTCATTTTTTAGGGAAAAAACCGGCACCTTATCCACGTTTTTAAGGTACCATTCAACCAGATTTCCCGCTTAAAACTGGGTGGTTACAACCAATGCCCGTCTATAGAGTCGTTCATCGGGGACGCCGAGACCACAATTTCGGTGACAGTCTTCCCAGGCACGGACACGAGAGACGGAGGCGCCGTCCTGTGACACCGAGCCGCCCTGGTGAAAGGCGCGGCTGAGGCGGGTAGCAGGGTCCAGATTCCGGCCACTCAACAAGCGGGCCAGGCCCAGGAGTGGCGGCCACGGCGGGGGCTCCGAGCACTGTGGTGTGGAGCCGCCAAGGTCTCCCGCCCCCCACCCGCATCCCGATCCCCCGGCCGCCGCGTTATGCCAGGAGCGCCCGTGACTCAGCAGCCCCGCGCCGTGCGGCCGCCACGCGCCGCCCGCTCACCGGTTGAAATGATCCACCACACTGAGCAGCACCAGGGGGTGGACCACCACCTTCTGCACCGCCAGCTCCGGCATCGCGACACTTGCCCGCCCGCCGGTCCGGCTCCCTGCGACCCACAAACACCGGCAACTGCAACGACACAGGCCGCTCCTCCAGGCCCCAGTGCCTCCCCTTCCGGTTTGACTACCGCCAGAGAGGCGACTTCCGCTCCCAGAGTGCTGCGCGCGCATGCCCGCACTGTCGCCAGGACCGCCATCTTGAAAAAGGGAAAGGGCAGACCGTGGGACTTTGGATGTTATTAATGAAGCTTGACTGGAACTTTCCCTAGCCTTTTGCCCCAGTTGCTTCCCAGCTCACCATTCCCCCCTCTCTGAAAAATTGTAGGAAAAAAACCCAAGAAAACAAACAGTAACAGCTCATATATCTACCAACTCAAGTACTAAACAATATAAATTTAACTTTAACGTCAAGGCAACACTGTTTTAAGATTTCACAGAGGAAATTTATTCTATTTTTTAAAATGTTTTATTTCGTTATTTTTGAAACAGGGCCTTGTGTAACACAAACTGGCATGGAACTTGCTGCATAGCCCAGGATGATGGTAGTTCCCTGATCTCTACCTCGCAGCATGTGCCACCACACCCAGCGTAGGTGGAGGAGCTTTTAGTATCTAACACCAAGGGCACACTTTATATGTAGGAGTGAGTAATTTATCTCATCATTTGTTGTTTTTTTTTGTTTTTTATGAGAGGTTTCTCTGTGTAATGGCTCCTCTGGCAATTCTTGGAACTCTCGTTGTAGACCAAGCTGGCTTTGAACTCACAGAGATCCACCTGCCTCTGCCCCCCAAGCACTGTGATTAAGTGCTCCCGCTACTACCTGGCATTATCTCATTATTTTTATTGTTGGAAATTTTCCTTAATGTCCTCTTGAATATAATGAAACAGTGACATTCAGGTTTTGTTAATCCTAAAGATGTGAGGAGAAAGACTCCTGACCCAAATCATCATAACCAAATTAATTAAAGCAAGCTTTTTAAAAATTTGCATACATAGGCTGTCTCTCCCTAAAAGTGGAGTTTAAGAAATCAGCATCAGACATGAGGGAGGGAGACTGGCCTCTGCCTCCTGGGCCCTGGGATTACAGACGTGTGCTACCACACTCAACGTGAAAATGTACTTTGTCAGCCTTCATTATACAATGTGTTAAAACATGCTTGCTGGTGTGCAGTGCCTGATTCGGGGTGGCCTTCTTCATTTCATGCCTTGCACAGCGCTCTTCAGCCCAGGAGGGCGTGTCTAGTATAGACAGAGCTCGGGCAGATTTCCTCTAATTTTGTCCTGAGAGATTTGGTGACTATTGAGTGATCAAAGGCTGATTTAATTTTCCTTATGTGCCAAATAAAGCTTAATATGGGAGTCCAAAGGAAATATCTTTTTGATGAATATATATACCAGATATAAAGAGGACAGTTTGAAATAATAAGGAAGGCAGCTTTTTTCCATGTTTCATTCTGATTTTTAAAATATGGAAATAATCCCTGAGACTAGACCCACTCCTGGGGATTGAATTCTTTCAGAGCAATACAGAAGAGGTGGGTGGCTATGGAAAACCCACTGTCTTTTGTTCATCAGACTTTAGACTTAACTTTTGGGGGACCTGATGAGATTTTAAGGATAATCTGGTTTTCTCTCCTTTGATCATTTTTGAATTTAGTATAGGGAGTTAGTCTTCCTGACCCAGGATCTTGAAAGAGTTCTCATTTTTGTTATATCCAGGGAAGGAATAATCCTATAAATATTCTGTCAATATCTTGAGTTTTGTGAACTCCAGTTTCCATCTTACTGAATTTAGAAGGAAGAAGGAGAAGGAGAAGGGGAAAGAAGGCAAAGAGGAGGAGGAGGAGAAAAAGATGAGGATGATGGTGTTGTCAACAACAAGAGACTTACCTCTAGCCCAAGTCTGTGTCCATTGCTGGGTTTCAGAGACGGCCATCCTTGGGAGTACCTGGTAATTTCTGGTCTCCAGAACCATATTTAGGTACAAGACCCAGGATGGACTCACCTTAAAGAAGTAGATTGATTTGGCCCAGACATACAGTCTCAGACTTTGGAGAGAAAATGAGATAGTAGGCATCTGCACCCAGATGCAGCACCTCAGCTCATCTCCTGATGAATTAGATCTGATTCAAGAGTGCCAGGTTGCTAAGGTGTCTGAGAAAACAGAATGTGTTGAGAGATATCCAGTCACAGGTATGGGCACTGCTCACAATATTCTTCTAGGAGAATGTAACTCAGAAAAGCGAAGAGAAAGCATCTTCCCCACTTAAGAAGTTTGGCTCCTTAAGGCACCAGTACTGCAGCAGGAGACTGGTATCTGTAGGCATTGCTGATGCCAGACAATACCAGCAGTCTGTGGGATGTGGAGACATGCAATAGACCAGGTCAGAACAGGTAAAAATAATGCCAAGGACACCACAGGGAACTGCCTGAGCTTTTGTAAGCGTGCATCTCCTTTGGAGTTCTAGAAGTATCTGAGGTGGAGAAGCATAGCAAAGGAGCAGGGTGTTATCTATTTAGTTATTACTGTGACAAAGTACTTACAAAAGCCATTCGAAGAAGGACGGTATGAAGGCTGGAGAGATGGCTCAGTGGTTAAGAGCATTGGCCATTCTTCCAAAATTCCTGAGTTCAATTCCCAGCACCCACTTGGTAGCTCACAATTGTCCTAAAGTCCAGTCCAAGGAAACCCAATGCCCTTCTTTGGCCTCCTTGAACACCAAGACATGGACATATAGGCAAACAAAACATCCACACATATTACATAAATAAATACCTTCAAAAAGAAGAGATGAGGGTTACTTTTAATTTCCAGCTTGACACAGCCTAGAATCACCTGGGAAGGGATTCTGATTAGGGCTGGTCTAGAGCAGATTGGTCCGTGGGATATGATCTTGATTGGATTAACTGAGGAGAGAAGACCCTTCCACTGTAGGAGGCTCCATTCCCCAGGAAGTTGGTCCTGGATTGTTTAAGAGTCTGGAGAGCTGTCTGCTCCAGAGTGTGGTTGTAAAGTGACCTGCTGCTCCTAGTTCCCCTGCCTTGATGGGCTGTGACCTGGACCTGACAGCCGAAGAAGCCCTTTCTCCCTTACATGGCTTTTGTCAGGGCATCTTATCACAGCCACAGGAATAAAACTAGGACTGAAGGTTTATTTTGGTTCAGAGTTTGAGGGTCCAGTCCATCGTGGAAGATAAGGCATGGCAGTAGGGACAGCTGGGCACATGGATTCACAGTCAGGAAGCAGAGGGAGAAAGAGAAATGCTGGTGCCCAGCTCACTTCCTCCTTCTTGTTCGTTCTGTAATCCTAGCTCCTGGAACCGAGCTGCTCACGGCCAGGGTGGGTCTTCCCTAACCTCAATAGCTCAGCTAACCTAACCTGGATACCCTCTCTCAGGTATACTCTGAGATTTGTCTGCTACTGGATTCTAGATCCTGTCACATTGATGGTGTTAGCGACGACACAAGAAGGAGGCACTGACTAGTGAAGCACTGATTATACGTGTGTACAAAATGATATTGAGTCTTGTACAAACACCGCCTCGAAATCTATGTTAGCTATTTTTAAAAATGCAAAATTTTTTCTTGGACTACTCTTTTAGGTTTTGCATTGCCTTATAATCAAAGTAAGGGAATAGTTTTAACATTTTTATCTTTTACCAATCAAACTTATCATCATACAGGAAAATACCAGGGAACGAGAAGCAGGATCGTAGTTAATAGAACGATGGATACACAGTACTTTGGGTGTAACTGAGTCTGTGTACGCTCACTGTGCTTCTGTTACAATGGCCCTGCCCATCTGTGGTAATGGAGGTCATCTTTGGAAGCTTGTCAATGTGCTTCCTGTCTCTTGCTTTTCTCATGTAAAACATTTACTCTGCTTTGTGGGCGGCATCCATCTGTGAGGAGGGTATAGGCCAGGACAAAGTGAACCACAAAATGTGTAGCCTCAAATATGAAAACAGGGACTGTTCCACGTGTGACGGCAATAGCTCTGCAAGCTGGGACGCTGTCTGGAAAGAGAATTTTCTGATTTTTGTTTTGTTGTTTTGAGACAGGATGTCTTAGAGCCCACACTGGCCTCGAACTTGAGACGTGGAGGAAAGGGTGGCCCTGAACTCCCGATCTTCCTGCGTCTACCTTCCACACATTGGGATTATAGATGTGGGCCACCCCACGCGGTTCTAACCTTTTGCCATCTGACTTTTATTATTTCTGGCCTGGGCTGGGGCTTTCAGTTTGTCGGGGCCTCCTGGAGTATAAGGAACTGCCCTGCTGGGCTCTGGAGAGATGGCTCAGCTGTCTAAGAGCTCTTGCCTTTGTAGAGGACCTGGATGTGGAATAGTCCTTTGTACTGTGAATAGATGTCACTGCGGTTGGCTTAATAAAGAAGCTGACTTGCTTACAGCTAGGCAGGTGTAAGGTTAGGCGGGAGAACCAGGCTTAGAGTCCACGGGGAGGAAGAAGGGCGAAACCTGAGAAGGGAGAGGAGATGGCATTCGAGGCAGAGCGGGCAGGATGGGAAGTATGCACATGAGGTAAGTGAGCCTGGGGGCATCACACAGATGAATAAAAATGAGTTAATTTAAGTTATAAGATATGAAAACAAGCCTGAGCTATCGGCCAAGCATTTATAATCAATATTACATCTCTGTGTGGTTATTTGGGAGCAGCTGCCGGGACACAGAAAAACTCTACCTACACCAGGGTTCTGTTCTCAGCACTCACATGACTGCACACAGCCTTGTGTAACTCCAGTTCCAGGTGATCTGACACCCTCTTCTGGCCTCCTTGGGCACAAGGCATGTATGCAGTGCCAATATCTACATACAGGCAAACACATAAACACAGAATTTTAAAAAGGAACTACCTTCCCCACCACTGGGTTTTGGGTAGAGTCATGGAGAATGAAGATGTGTGGTAAGGGACGTCAGGGTGATGTGAGCATAGGAAAGGTCAGAGTGTTTCTCCTTTGGTCTTCGCCTCAGCCAGCAGGAGGTGTGGCAGATGAGTGAGCATACCAGGAGGCAGCGAAGGTTCTATCTCAATGAGACTTTGGATGACCCCACATTGCTCCGAATCTACTTGGGCACAGCCATCTGGATTGGATGGCACAGACAGCCAGGAGAATGAAGGCTTTCAGA